AATTTTCTATTTCAGATTATGTCTTGAAATAATGTGATTTTGAATAAAGGGGAATGTTGAATAGTGATCCAAAATTTAGTTCACATTTGGACTTAATGTCCTTATTTTTAAGATATAATTGGTAGTAATTATTACACATGACTGAGTGATTTTTAATATTCAGCAATTTTCTCCACTTTCTCCGTTCTCTCATTATCTATTAACTATTTAAGCTTTTTACTCTATTAATTATTTTGTAAGCTTATTAAAAAATTGATTAAATTTAATAAAAAAGCAAAACAATTTATGTACAATTACTCCAAATTGATTTTTTTTTTAACGTCATTGATTTAATTTTAAAAAACCTACCTCTTCCTCCCCGCAACCCCCAAGATTGACAGAAGGAAATTGTGTACCTTGGGGAGGAATTAATTTATTGAAATGTCATAAACTAAGAAAAAGAAAAAGGGTTTAGTCTCTTCTAAAGTGTATATATATATATAGTATATATATATATATAGTATATATTGGTACATGGAAATCATTTACTACTACTATGTATTAAAATAAGGCAGAAGATAGAAAATTTCAAGAAATGTAAAGCTTAGTTAGTAGTTATATGCGCGGTGTGGTTGAAGGCTTTTATAGGCCATGAGAACGCATGGGGTACCCACCTTCCCACTCGTGCGCTCTATTTATCAATGGCGGCTCACTCTCTCCATTACCCTTCAATTATCATCATTAATGGCATGGAGCCAAAACAGAACCTGTTAGATTATAGTGTAGTAAATAATCATCTCTTTTCTTTTCTTTTTTCTTCACTTCTCTCCTTTTCTTTTCAATTTTCTCTCACTTTCTATTCATGTTGTAGCAGTAGTGCGATTGGGAGTTGTCTTGTCAACTAGGGAGGGTGGACTAGGGAAAGAATGTGCGAGACAACCAAACACATTTGAAGTGCTACTAACAGCTTGACATAACGCCTTTTTGGGGCCCATGTGGGCCAGATCATCCACATTAAAATCTCCTTCTTTTTCTCCCTTCCTCCAAGTATATTTATACCCACCACTTCATTCCTTAGCTTCCCATCCTCAACATTCCTCAATCTCTTATAAAATTCGCTTTTAATTTAGTTTGTGTTAATCTCAAGACTTTGCTTCAATGGCTGATGCTAGTGGTTCTGCCTCTGCTAAGAGGATGTGGTGTTCGGTTCCTGAAAGGCTCCAGCTGCATATGGCCATGTTGGCCTTGCAGTTTGGTTATGCAGGGTTCCATGTGGTCTCCAGAGCTGCCCTTAACATGGGCGTTAGCAAACTTGTGTTCCCAGTTTATAGGAATATCATTGCGTTGCTTCTGCTCCTTCCTTTTGCATATTTTCTTGAAAAGTAAACCAGACAAAGCATAACCTCATTACTCTTCGCTTTTAAACCCTTGTTGTACTAAACCCTAACTTGTTTTTCAATTTTTTTTTTCTTTTTTCCAGGAAGGAGAGACCAGCGATTACTCTAAACTTTCTTTTACAGTTCTTCCTGCTTGCCCTTGTTGGGTACGCATGTTCATGCTCTATAACTCTAAAGTATAATAAAAAAGTACGCATGTTCATTCTCTATAACTCTAAAGTATAATGAAAAAAAATAAAGGAAAAAAAGTACAAGCTAATTCATCACAATATGGTGAGGACCATGCTCAGTGTAATAAAAGCAAAACTAACTGGTCCTATATCCTTTTTTTTTTTTACGTGACAGAATCACAGCAAATCAAGGTTTCTACTTGCTGGGCTTAGATAACACATCCCCAACCTTTGCATCAGCAATCCAGAACTCTGTCCCAGCCATTACCTTTCTCATGGCAGCCCTACTCCGGTAAACCGCCACAATTCCTCTAATTATGTACAGGGACATGACATGAAATGTGTTTGGTTGTTTCATTTGCATGCTTCTTGTTTTCAGGATAGAGAAAGTGCGGCTAAATCGAAAAGATGGGATATCGAAGGTTATAGGAACAATTTTGTGTGTTACCGGAGCATCAGTGATAACTCTATACAAAGGTCCAACCATATACAGCCCAGTTCCAACTCTGAATAGACCCACACCAATGTTTGTTTCATTGGGAGATGCAAAGGGAAAGAGCTGGACCCTTGGTTGTCTCTATCTAATTGGCCATTGCTTGTCCTGGTCCGGTTGGCTGGTGTTGCAGGCACCAGTCCTGAAGAAGTACCCAGCTAGACTCTCGGTGACCTCCTATACATGTTTCTTTGGTCTTATTCAGTTCCTGATCATTGCTGCAATTTTTGAAAGAGATCCTCAAGCTTGGATTTTCCACTCTGGTGGAGAACTCTTCACTATACTCTACGCGGTCAGTATTTCATACGTCATTTAGTCAAACCATTCACAGAAATTTTTTCTTTTTAAAGGGGAAGTATCCTTTAAGCTGAGTCACAACTTTGGGTTCAAGTAAAATAATTTCAATGGATAGTATAATATATCAACAGCCAGCCAGCAAAGCAGAAAGACACTAACTCCAAGTCTCCAACCCAACCCATTTTTTTTTCACTTAATTAAAGAGAGGGAATTGTTTTGCTCATACCACCAAATTGAGTGGTTAGCAAATAAAATATACCCTTTATTAATGAAGAGGTGTAAATTTCTTCCTAATAATTCATGGAACATGAGAAAAATATCTTAGATAGCCAGTGAGGGAAAAGTTATTTTGGCACATGGGGGAGTTATTCTTTCTTGAAATTCTTGGCACACATTTGCTTTTTTCTTTTTTTCTTTTCCTTTTTAGAATGTGAAACGGGATTCACTCAACCATAAGCAATAAGGTGAATCCTTTGCATCTTTTTGTAATGTGCATCCATGTCAAAAGCAATTTGATAGATCTTTATAAAATGTCTTCGGCTGGAAAGCTGGTGTGCTGTCTTTTTACTTCATGAAAATGCCTTATCAAGACCCAAATGGGAGCCCATGTACTCCTTGGGGAATGTCATAAGTCCGTCAAGTCTAACATCATTAGAAAATAAAAGCCTAACCTTGTACCGTTTGAACCTGTGCCAAATAGTTGCTGATAGGGCAAGTTCACGGGATATAACCCTTTTATTCTAAAAGATTTCTTCTAATAATTGTAGTAGTTAAGCTGCAGTACATTAGAAAAAAGTGGTTTATGCAATAATGTGGGGTGGTGGGTTCTTGAAAATGAAATGAGACCAAATAATTTGTGTGGAAAATGCAGGGAGTGGTGGCATCAGGGATTGCATTCGCTGTACAGATATGGTGCATTGACAGGGGTGGCCCTGTCTTCGTTGCTGTTTATCAACCTGTTCAGACTCTTGTTGTCGCCATTATGGCTTCCATTGCTTTAGGGGAAGAATTCTATTTGGGAGGGTAAGTTTCCTCTTTCTCAACATTATCTCTGCATCCCTTAGTTGAAAACTCATCAATCTTCTGCTAAAGTTGGGCCCCGATATGTTCATCCCCAACCGTAGGATCAAAATATCTGTCAATACATTAAGCTTGTAATCAACTTGGCATTGACGCCTTTTTATTCACTGCACATGAATTTAACACAATTTCTCTTTTCTTTTTGTAAATGTATAGGATTATTGGGGCGGTGTTGATCATAGTGGGATTGTACCTAGTGCTTTGGGGAAAAAGCGAAGAGAGAAAGTTTGCAGCTCAAGAAAAGGCTGCAATTCAATCGACTCCGGAGCACAGTAACAGCAGAACGTCAAGCCACATCAAGACATCCCTTACTCAGCCACTTCTCCCTCCTTCAACAGAAAATGTTTAGCTAGAAAACCCCTAACCTTTAACCACAGTGCTGCCTCAAAAAAAATCAGACAACAAATGGGAAGCACTACGTTATATCAGAAGTTTGTGTGTGTGATTTTTTTTTTTCTTTTTTTTAGTCAATAGCTTTCTTTAAGTAGCAGATAGGGTTAAAAGAGAAGCGTTTTTGAAAGGGGATGATGATGATGATCACAGTCGCACCTGCGTGGCCTATGGGGGCCTGAGATCCCATATGCCTTTTATATGTTAATTTTATGGTTTTATTTAAGATAAAGGATATGCAAATTATGATGTTCTCAAATTCATTATGATGTATGGTATGAATGGACCCGTATTTGCAACAAAGCTCATCAATACTATTTCTTTTGGACTAAAGATGACAAGAGACATGCTGTTTCTTATATATATATATATATAAAAGAAACAGATATGCCATCACAACCACTCATATTTTAATTAAACAATTTTCCAATCATATAAGATTTCCCAATCTTCCTCCCTTTTTGTTTGATCTTCCATTATGAAAGTTATAACAACTACTTTGTAAAACATCAAGCTCATAATTAGGATAGACACACCGACAGGATATCACCAGAGCCTAAATTTGGATGGTAAGTAAATTTATATATTGTTTGGAAGGGAGTGAGGGAAATGACATGCAAGGAGAAATGACAAACATATAGCATCTAAAAAAGATAGAGGGAAGTGATATGACCAACAAAACTTATAAAAAAAAAAAGACAAAAGGAAAAGCAAAATAACTTGAATAAGCAGTACTTTAGGCCTCAAATTGTCTATTTTTTGGTTTTTTTAATTTTTTTTCTTAAAAGGATTGACTTAGAAATGTCCCAGATGTGTCTTGGTTCAATTCATCTCTATTCATCCACCTGTTACATCCTGTGCTGGACGTCAGAATTATTACTGATGCAAATCCTAGTTAAATTAAGGTAGTTGAACAGATCCCAAGATTAATGCTTCATTTAAGAGATTGGCATTATTAGGGAATTTTCAATTATCACATTAATTGGTAACCTTTTGCAAAAGCAATTTCTTTCTTTTATAATCAGATGCTTTAGCCTTTATGATGGGAATGGAATTAAATATCCATCATTTTGTTTCTCTTTAAGCTTTTTCTCATCTTGGTGTCTTTAATTAATTGGTCTTTTTAGTCCAAAACAAGGTTTTTTTCTCAATGGAATTATCCTAATAAACTGCAAATGTTGATAGTTCTGAACTTTTGGGCATCTCAAATAGTTTATTAGGTTTTCATCATGTAAATCTTTTAATACAAAGCAATACAGTATTTTAAATTAGGAAAACAATTGATTTGGTTCATTTGCAAATAAAGTGAAATAAGTCATACATCATAAATGGAAGTAACTAATTTTAGATTTCACAGCACCAGGCTTTGAAACTCCCCTTTATCATCCTCTTTCTTTGTCACTTGATGATGATCATCATCAGACGTCTCAACCATGGCCTCAACCCTGACGACGCTCCCTCCCAGGCCATTCTTTCCCTTGTATCGCCAAGCCACCCACAAGTAATCCAAGAAATTAGCAGCATTGATTGCTGCCAATATCCAGTAGAAATAATCCAGCCTGCTTTTGTCAAGATCATTTCTTAGCCATCCTGTCTGTTCCCCACCAGTTGCACGCTCAATGCTTTTAACAATTGCTGAGCTTAACCAACTCCCAATTCCAATCTCGGTAAGAAACATTGCACTACTTATGCTTCTCGTCCCATCAGTCGCTTCATCGTAAAAGAATTCCAATTGTCCCACATAAGTAAAAACCTCTGCAGTGCCTATTAAGAAGAACTGTGGAAGCAGCCAAAACACGCTCATAGACGATGGATTTGGATGGTCACGACGTTTCTTCTCAACTAAAGCAGCTGAGGTCAAGGCAAAGATGGATGTGAATAGGCCAACACCCATTCTTTGTAAAGATGTACTGCCACGGCGATGGCCGGTGAGTTTGCGTAGGATTGGGACCATCAATTTTTCGCAGATAGGGACGAGTATGAGCGCGTTGATGGCGCTGAAGACAGGGACTGAACTTGCTGGAATCGTGAAGTTGGGACCAAGTTTTCGGTCCATGATGGAGGCTTGGCTGATAAAGAAGGTTGAGAGTTGGGCAAATGAGATGGAAAGGGCTATTGTGGATGCCCACACAGGGAGGATTCTAATGAAGGACTTGAATTCTTCTACTTGGGTCACTGTGCAGAGTCTCCAACGGTTTTTAGTGTTAGCTTCAGAATCCATCACCACAGCTGCCTTATCCAAGAATCTATAGAAGCCAATTAACAAAAAATTTTAAGTAAAATTTTCAAGTAATTTCAATAACCCAGTGTGACTATTAATTTACAATTGGATATCCTAAATGTTAACTACAACTATTAATTACCTGTACTGTTTGGTTTGAGCGAGTTTTTGAGCACCAGAAATATCAGACTCCAGTGTATTGACCTCATATAAGACATCTTCACGTCCTAATTGAGCCCCTTTAAAATGGTTCCTGACAGAAGCCACAATGACCTGAAGAAACCTTGTAAAAGGACTTCCCATGGGCTTTTGGAAACGATAATAAGGCATTCCAGCAGCTAGGATGAAAATAGAGCAAACCATAGCCACAGTAGGAACTCCAAAACCCCACCCCCAACCTTTCTTATCTTTTATATATACCAAAAGAGTGATACCCAAGAGAGCACCCATGTTTATGGCAAAGAAGAACCAGTTAAAGAACGAATATTTCTTACGGGCTTCTTTTTCATCAGTTTCGTCGAACTGGTCTGCTCCAAATGATGAAACGCATGGCTTGATACCGCCGGTTCCAAGGGCTATAAGAGCTAGTGCAACGAAGAGAAAAGCTGATTGTTTCCCTGTTGCTTTTATGCATGCTCTGGCAGTGCATGGAGGCGGACGTAGGCTGTCTACGGAGGCTGATAGCGTCAACAAAACCATTCCCTGAGAAAAGGGAAACATGGGCCTTTAGATTACATGGTCAAACACTCAGCAGATCCAAAGATGGGCCAATATAGCTAATTTGGGCCTGTAGGCCTATTCTCTTGGGTCTCTCAACCATGGGATTTAGCCTATTTAAGGCCCATTTGTAAGACTTTCTCACCGGGAGGTCTAGCCCAGCAGATATCTACACATAACCTGGGATTTGGAATGCAAATTCAACGGTAGGCATATCAATGGAAGTGCTACTCACCACTGCATATATGCAAGAAAAGTTAATGATCGTCAAGAATCGACCCAAATAAGCATCGGCAAGAAATGCTCCAAGTAGAGCTAGAACATAGGCAGCTCCAATCCAATCAGTCACATGAGTCGCTGCAGATGGAAGCGATTGGTGCATTTCAAAAACCAGATAAACCACCATGTTCACCGCTATTGCGAAAAATGCCAATCTCTCTGCAACCTCATTAACTAGAATCAGGAAAGGGAACAAAAAAAAAAAAGAACCATGAGTCAGAGACCAATATCATGTTAGTAAACCTCATTAAGTACCAAAAAAATGCCCTGTTAGCTAATTTTGGTTAATACCTATGATAAACGGAGATGCCTTCCATCCTCCAGTTGTTTTTTTATCTGCAATTTTCCCTCTAATATCCACGCGTCCATTGCTAACCAATGTGGTTGATGATACAAATTTCTCCTGCAAGACATTACCCGAAGTGATTTCATCTAAACCAAGGGTAACTGATAACGTGTAAGATTGATTGAATGATTCTGTTCAACTAATTAGGATTACCTTCTCATGGTTCTGCTTTATCTCCTCGAGGAATTTGTCCATAGAAGGCTGAGTAATGGACTTCTCAAATGGGTCGCCACCATGTTCCTTTGTTTCCATCCAGAAAAAGCGACTGTTCAAACTCTTTGGTCAATTCTGCTTTCAGGTAGAAGGCTATAACATTAATTCTGGTAAAGATATCTTAATTTGAGTTCTCATATAAACAAGAGATCAATTTACCTACCAAAATAAAAAAGCTTAAAAAAAAAGTGTGTACAACTTGTCCTGAAGTAAAGTTTGACCGGCTTGCTTTTGACGTTTCCAATTGAGTTTGTGATGAGCTTACGGGTGGTTATTAGTGTGTCGCCGGCAATATAATACTGTCTTTTTATTTCCTGAATTTGTGGAACTTCCATATGGAGTTGTACTAACGTGCAACATGCTGAAGTAAGGCTTAGATACTAACGATGATTGTGTTGTTTATCAGACCAAAACTTTGAAAATTTGTACGAGTCAAGCTTAGATACTCACGGTGATTGTGTTGCTTATCAGACCAAAACTTTAGAAAATTTGTACGGGGCAAACTGCCGCCTATCCTTATCTGAGAATCCTTGCTGACAAGAATCCCATGGGCTGATTAGGTCAAACTTGGTCCAAAAATCCCAATGGGGTTTACTGTTTGGGATTCTGGTATATGATCCTAGAACACATGATCAGGCCTGTGATTTCGTTTGTTGCTTGCTTAACAAACAGTTTTTCTCTTCTCGTATCGTATCTGGAAAAAGACAAAAACTACTGGATGTTGAAAACTTCTGTTTCCATTTTTGTCTATAAGAGAAGTTCATTGCACTGAGATGAAGTACCCGTTAAAATTTCTTTTTATGTTCATACTGCTCTATTAAGTACTGCATAACAGCATGTTAGTGAATATCTGTGCTTGGTAAATATTATGAGCTTGACCAAAAAAAGGATTTTCAATTTCCTTTCTTCGCAAGGATTTGTGCTTAGTAAATTACTTTTACACTTCAGGAACGCATATCAAATATTGCGCATAATGTTGTTAATGGATTGTGCACTCCCACAAGGGATCCATCTGTTCCAGTGTACATAACCATTGGAGATAGAGGAAATCCGGAAGGATTGATGACAGAGTATGGAATCTGGTTTCAAGATTTATCTCCTTAAATCAAAATTTTCTTTGTGATTATCATTGTGTAACATTGTTGGTCTAATTGAACAGGATGATGCCATGATGGAGCCACAGCCAAGCAACTCAGCTTATCCCGAGGCCAGTTTTGGTCATGGAATATTAGATATGACGAACAGGACTCATGCTTACTTCAGTTGGCATCGAAATCAAGACGGTTATGCTGTGCAAGCTGATTCCCTATGGTTGCATAATAGATATTGGAGCGTTTCAGAAGAAATACCTGTAGTCAGAATATGATTCGCTATTTCGATAGACACGGTTGATGGAATGGAACTACTCAAGATTCACCTTGCGCTGCTTTAGCTTGTTAGGAATAGATGGCTAAAATTCGAATAACATGGCAGGTTGTGAGATCAGGAAAAAAGCCCCGGGTATTCTATTCAGTTGAATTGTTGTTGAAAAATTTACAAAGGGCCAAACATCATAGAATCCCTGTACAATATTTTTCTACTAGCTACCATTATTTTATAGAAGACAGTGGAAGTGGGCTTAGAAATGTGACAGGGATCTTTACTGTTGGGGCCTGGGGGGATACCTTTTCTAAAAAGATACAAGATACGCACTACACAAGACTAGTTAAAGCAATTTGAAAAACTCATTGGAGGATGAGACGTAGACCCCTGCACTCTTCCGCCTCATTCAGATGACAAGATCAGAACCCTGGTCCTCACTTTTTAGCAGATCTATGCAAAACCAGATCTCCACTTGGAGACCTTTGATGCTCATTAAATGTGACACTTGGTTCTTGTTCAGCATTCATTACACAGGAAAATAACCGTCCAAATCACGTAGTATTTGTGAATCTTGTCATGCTTGATGCTTAATTGTTTGTTCTGGTCATCTCGTACATATTTCTCTTTTAGTTCATAATCATGATTCATAAAAAACAAATTTGATGTAGATAGAAAATAAAAAGTTTAACATTGTTTAATAAAAGTAAAGATTAAAGGAAAAAGTGACTGCATAAGACCAAAGAAATATTGAAGTCATATCTCTGCAATGGTTGTCTTGTCTATACTGTAGCTGGTTGCGGTTGGATCCTCCATTAGTTATTTTAGTGTTAGCTTTTGCTTATCGTTATACTGATCATGTTTTAATATTAAAATGAACAATGAATATAAAATTTTTTTTAGTGCGCATTAGGTAAATAGGGCAGACCATGCTATCATAAAGAAAAGAAAAGGAGTATTAATTCATATCTTTTCGAGTAAATACTTCACTGGAGGACCCCTTGTTGGCCCTCCTACAATTTCAGCACTTTATCACGTCTTATCTGTTGGATTCGTGTAAAATTTATCCATCTCTAGAAAGAGCATTCTAAAAGATGTGCACTAGTCAAGGGAATTAATAAACTGTCTGCCTACCGTTACCAAGCACTTCTGTCTCAATTGAACGCTAACCTTCCTAAATAAATGGATCATGTGGAAGGCACAAGATATGAAACAGACTACCAGAGCCCAGAGATTTTTTCCTAAGTTGAAAGCTTGAAGAGATTCTGGTCAGATGGCGCTGCTGAAAGTCTATAACCTTTCTGTTTTTTGGCTTCTATGTATGATTTTGGTTGCGTCTAACTTCTGCAATGGAGGAATAACTAATTCCTTTGTGAGGAAAGAGTATTCTCTCGATATGCCCCTTGACAGTGATGTTTTCCAAGTTCCTCCAGGTTATAATGCTCCTCAGCAGGCATGTTCTTTTCTTCTTCTAATTCGATAGCGTTCTTTCAGTTAAATTTACTGGAAGTCTGCTGCTAAATGTGTTCCTGGAATTTAAGTTTTGTTTTGTATTTGCTTCTTCTAACTTTTTAATGGGTTATTTCATCTTTACGTACCTGGTTTCTGATAGGTCCATATAACACAAGGGGATACTGATGGGAGAGGAGTGATCATCTCCTGGATAACTCCCGATGAACCTGGCTCGAATACAGTTATCTACTGGTCTGAAAATAGCAAGCATAAGAATCGTGCTGAGGGAATTTTTGTCAGATATAAGTTCTTCAATTACACCTCAGGTTACATTCATCACTGCACCATCAAGAAGTTGGAGGTATTCTTTTTCTCTTTTCTTTTCTCAATCAGGTTTTCCATCTTAAAGAAGCTTAATTTAGTTGATTTAATATCAGTATAGGCCAAATTTGCGAGAAATATCTGGGTCATTTGCTTGTAATTTTGATGGAGTAACTAGAGCTTCTTTTACTTTTGCAGTATAACACCAAATACATATATGAGATTGGAATAGGAAATACGACCAGACAATTCCGGTTTATGACTCCTCCAAGAGCTGGCCCTGATGTTCCTTACACTTTTGGTCTGATAGGTACTTCCATTTCATCTCATTAACTTCTGTGTCCGCTCTAATTTGTTTTATTATTGAAAAGTGCCTTCAACACTGATAGTTTCCATAGAAATGTTTTTTGCTTTGTCAAATTTTCACATAGAATACTTCTGTTTCATTCTGTTTATCCATATATCCATCAAAGAGTTTTGCATGGTTTTATTTTGATCTCAATCCTTGAGCACTTTGAACAGGGGATCTTGGTCAAACACATGATTCAAATGTTACACTCACCCGTTATGAATCAAATCCAAAGAAGGGACAAACAGTCTTGTTTTTGGGGGATCTGTCATACTCAAATGACTATCCATTCCATGATAATTCTCGGTGGGATACATGGGGAAGATTTATAGAGAGGAATGCTGCTTTTCAGCCTTGGATTTGGACTGTAGGAAATCATGAACTTGATTTTGCTCCTGAACTGGTATGTTGTTTTTTATCTCCTGAACTGTTGCCTGGGCACTCAAACAGAGAATTTCACCATGTGATGTCGCACAATAATTATGGTTTGCTTGACATAGATGGTCCTAATAGTCTTAACAATTGGTTATGTTGCAGGAAGAAACTACACCCTTTAAGCCATATACACATCGATATTATGTGCCGTATGCATCTTCAGATAGTACATCTCCTTTATGGTATTCGATCAAGAGAGCTTCAGCTTATATCATTGTTTTGTCTTCTTATTCTGCATATGGTAAGGATATAACTTCACCTATGAATGAAGTTCAGGAATTGAACATTTCAAAAATACTATTAGATGGATTAAATGTCAAGCAAGCAAAATGATTGTGGTGACCTAGATAATTTGAGTCAGTCACAAGGGCCTTGTGTATTATATACCTAATGCGAATGCGTGCAAAATGCAGATATATTGTCTTATCCTGCTAATTTCTAATTTTGATTTTGACAGGAAAATCCACTCCTCAATACAAATGGCTAAGAGATGAGCTACCTAAAGTGGACAGAAGCGAGACACCATGGCTGATTGTTCTTATGCATTGCCCAATTTATAATAGTAATGCGCATCATTACATGGAAGGAGAAACCATGAGAGTGGTGTTTGAGTCATGGTTTGTCAAGTACAAAGTAGATGCTGTATTTGCTGGTCATGTTCATTCCTATGAGCGATCTGTAAGTTCCATCCATTTTAATGTTCCTTTTTTTTTTTTTTTTCATTTTTTAAGCTTTTTGATTACCAAAGATTTAGGTCTAAATTACCAGCAAAAAATTTTCCTTACTATAACATTCAAAGTCCATATGTTACTCTTCCAATGACATATCCTCTGTTTTCTTTGTTTGGATAATTACATGTTTAACCAAAGGTGCTTTCCCCCAACTAAATTCCCCGGCAGCTGCTTAACTTAATACCTTAAAGCTTCCATTTTCTTGTCCAAAAATGCCATAGCAACAATATCAAAACTTACCATGTTTATTAATATTTCACATTGCAGAAGCGTATATCCAACATTGCATACAATATTGTGAATGGAAAGTGTACTCCTGTTAATGACCAGTCTGCACCAGTCTACATTACCATTGGAGATGGAGGAAATCACGATGGACCAGCGATAGGGTAATGCTTATCAGTATATTATTGCTCCTTAAAATGATCTGCCTTCATCTAAATTTTCTATATTCTTGATTGTATCCTGGTATAATTTTAACTGATCATTCTCTTTTGAGTAAGCAGCATGGTGGAACCACAGCCAAACTTCTCAGCCTATCGGGAGGCAAGTTTTGGTCATGGTATTTTCGATATCAAGAACAGGACACATGCCTACTTCAGTTGGCACAGAAATCAAGATGGATATGCTATCGAAGCTGATTCTTTCTGGTTTCATAACAGATATTGGAATCCCTTCGGAAAATCTTTTGTAGCTTCGTATTAATCCTCGGAAAATCAGTGTGAACAGTAAGATCTCAGCAAAAGTTTCGTCTTTTCTTGAGAAAAAGAAAAACCGAACATATTTTTTCTTTGTTTGTACCAGAAAAAAAAAAAGGGAACATTTATATGCGAAAAAACTGCGGGTGCTGACAAAAGAATTGACAACAAAAAGATTATTATCGATCAAGTATGCAATCCCAAACGTTTCTGACCAAACATGGACTCTTCTTGTTTTTCATCGTTTTTATTGAAACGTAATAAATTCAATAATTAGTAATTACTACCTTTGGTGGACTATGTAACATTTTCTATTTTCCACGTCCCAGTTAGTCTTAGAAGCTGGTAGGCAAGAATTGCACGTGACTGATATTTACAGAAACATAAATTAAAACAAAAAACAAACAAAAAAGGAGAGCCATGACAAACCCTGAAAAACCCATAGGTTTTCATGGCTATTACTGTAGAGTGTAGACGGTAGGACACTGCGTAATTCTATTTACACAAATATGCGCAGAAGACTATCACTGACTTTCACGTTCCACGTAGCTAACAGCTAGCTTAGCTTTGCATGCACCACGGGGATTGCAAAAGTCCCAGCCAGGTAGATTAGAACGTGATATATTTTATGTTGAACAAAAAAATTATTTGTGTAATTTAAAATAAATTATTTATATTATTTAAGTAATCAAGTTAAATGTTGAAGTGAATTAAGTTATTTGGATTTGTAAAGTGTTTTTTTCAGATAATTTTAATTTTTAAATTTTTTTATTTTAAAATATTATTAATTTTGAATAAATATATTTAAATAAAAATATAAACTGTTTAAATAAAAAAATATGAATGTATAAAATATCATAATTTTTTAAATTAACTTGATTAGTAATTATTCATTTGTTATAAATATATTTTTTTATCTGTTCAATGTCACTACTTTTAATTTAGCAAATTTTTAAAATTTTATTGTAAACATAATTATTTTTAAGATAATATTTTTCATACTTCAAAGTCATATTTTCTACCTTCATATTATTTCTGTTTTCTTAAATTTTTTAACAGTTCCATCCACGAGGTTGCCGCAAAACTGCCTGGAAAATCTAGTGACATGGAAGCTTCTGCCCAAATAGAGTCATCTAAAACAGGCAAGTTAACACTCATATTCTCCCAAAACCCATCAATTCCATCTTCATTTTGCCCAAATTTTGCGCTGTTCTCCACCAGGTTCCCTTAAGAATAATAGTTCTCGTGGGGGAAAGATATGACTGAATCATTGTCGTACACTGGTGTTACATCATTGGCCCTGATAAAAACTGGGCTATTTGATGAACTCTTACCTGATGAATTGTTCGCATTCTGAGGTTGGTTCCCTATTGGAGCAACCTGAGTGTGAGCTGAAGAAGGTGGATATTGAGGGTTGACGCATAATTGTGGCAAGTTGAGCTTGGCATCCGAGCCATAGAGTTTACCGGGGGGGGGGGGGGGGGGGGCGGCCAGCATCATAAGTCATTGCTGCTTCATGAAAGGTGTTAAAAGTTCCAAGCCAAATACGAGCACCACGATTGGGTTCACGAATTTCAGCCACCCATTTACCCCAAGTTCTCTGCCCGACACCTTTGTAAGTGCAGAGAGCATTTTCTGGACCTCCCTTTCCTCTTATGCACCCTTTCTCGAGCTTGCTTGTGCAGGCTTCTTGACTTGTTTTCTTTCTTCAAAGCCACTGATGACTGAAGTGACATTGTTCCAACAGAGAAACCCAGGGGAAGTAAAGGAATGAGGAAAGTTATTGATAAGCACATTGGATGAAAGGGGGTAATGGTATTTATACGACAGAAAGGGAGATAAGAGCTCCAATGGGATAAGTAAGCTTGCCTGAAACGTGTCTTAAGATGGGTTTGGGATGATACTTAGCATGGAGGCCCTGTTTGCTCGTATTGACTGTAAAGCTCACTGTCATTTCTCATAGACACACTCGGCCTAGATTCTTGTTTGTACCGAGCTCATGTGGCAAACAAGGAAGGAAAAAAAAAAGAAAAGGAAAATGTAGTTTGATTTTGTAAATTCTGGGGGGCGGGGGGTGGAGAAAAAAAAAGGGGGGGGAAAGGATCGATAATGGTCAATTTACTATTGGGAACGACGGCGTGTTTGGGCAGATAAGAACCTGAGAGGGTTGAGAGTTTCTAAAAGGAACAAATGACAAATGACAACTGAGAAAGAGTGTTCCGACGCGTGGGGGCTCCCAAGTACAGCGGTGGAGCTTTAGAAGTCAGAGTGAATCCAGGTTTAAGAATGGTTTTGCATTCAAAGTTTTAAATAACGATGGCAGTCACATTTTTTATTACATCATATTTATTATATTTTTAAATATAATAAAGATTATTATGATTATTACAATAATTGTGGTAGTAAATTTTTTTACACAATTTATTATAAAATGTAATAATTATAATTATAAAAATTTTTATTCAATGATTTTAAAAATAGTTTACGATACTATATTTTTTATTTTTTAAAAAAGTTATTTACAATTTTATTTAGATTATAAAAAACATTTATATTTGGTTTATTCACAAATTTTTCTTGGTCAAGTTCATATTCAATATTAATTCTAGACAAATCAAATATTAACAAAATATAATATGTTAAATACCAAGAAATTTATATTTAATAAAATTACAAACTTAAAAATATAATAATTTCAAATTCCATCAACTACAATTATTGATATAAATTTTTAAATTTTATCATATGATAGAATGACGAGAAATATCATATTCTCTATCTTTCACTTTGAAAGCTAAGTTGACTCTATCTCTATCCTTAAGGCTTTTGTTCTTTATACATTTAAGGTGAAAGATATATTTGAGGATAATACATTTGTAGTGGAGGGATATATTTTAGGATATATTATGTAATTTTATAATTTTTATTAAGAAATTAACAATAATATTTTCAAATGAATTAAAAAAACATAATATACTAGTAACATTGGGGCATGGTGCAATACTATCAGTTTTATGAGCAATGTGTTCTTTGAAACGTGTTATCCCTCATTTTATAACTTTACCACAAAGTTTACATAAAACATTTCTTCTTGTATTTGGCACAAGTATTCCAAAATACCAATCTATATCATCACTTGATGTGCCATTTACTTATTTACTCGGAAACTCTTCACATGTTGGCATATTTGTTATTTTGTATAAAAATAAAATAAATTTATATTTAAAAATATTAATATTACTTATTACATCATTAAATTTTGATTTTACGTTAAATTTTTTAATTTTTAGTTTTTAATCTTAAGAATATTATTAAATAACTTAATCTTTTTTATACAATAATTTATATAAATTTTTTTATCACAAATAACTTTCAATAATTATATAATAAATGCAATCTTTAATAATTACACAAAAATAACAATAATTAATCTAATATCAAAAGAATTGACAACAATATAAATATCAAAACAATAAAAAAATATTAAAATTCATATACAAAATTATAAATTAATATATAACGCAATCAAAATATAATATTTAATTTTAATTATTTTTCATCTAACTTATACAAAAAAAATTTATCAAAAATTTTCATCTAAAATTTTTATATATATTATATTTAATTATTAAATTTTTTTAATTATAAATTTTCAAAATCATAATTAAATTTTATCTAAAAAAATTTCAAAAATTAATTACAAAATTAAATAAAAAATTCAATCCCACCCCCTTAACACCCCACCAAACCCAATCCCTTTTCACCTTCCCCCCAACGCCCCACCACACCAATCCCTCTTTACCCCATTCAATCTCTCTCCATGTGCCCGATATCCCCCAATTTGTTTAATTTTTTCTAGCAAACTTTTCTAGAAACGCACTTGCTCTCTTCTGTTCATCTTCTTCTTCGTGTTTCTAGGCTTTCCAAATTTTTTTTTTTTTTCATCTCTCATTTTCTCTCACATCTCTTTATCATTATCACTTGTCTAGTACCTATGGAATATCTTATTTGTCTCTCTCTCAAACTCTCACAACAGATATTATTTTACAAAAATTTTATAAAAAAAAAATAATTTAACTTTCTTTTCTTACCTTATTTAATTTTGAATGTTGATTAAAAACTTGAAGCTGATTTGAATTTAAATGTTGAAGTACCGATTGAATTGTTGTAACTTGAAATAATTGATCTATTTTTTAACTTATTTTTAGAGTTATTTTAATGCTAAAGATATGATATTTTAAGTTTTATTTTTTGCTTTTACTTTTATTTTTACTTTTACTTTTACATGTTTATTGTTTTATTTTGTAGACTTAAAATTTTATTTTTATCTTGAATTATTAGATTTATAAGTAAAAAAATAAAATAATGACAACAATAATCCGTTATTATCATTATTTTTGTTAATTTTACTGTTATTATTTCGTTATTAAATCGTTATTTGAAAACTTGCATGCATCAACGGGGCTCATGCTGCTGTAACTTCGCCGAAAAAGATCCCTTCGTACACTGAATCTTTCCCAGTCAAATTATGGATTTGGACTCTGCCTTGGCTTCCAACTTCCAACTCGATTGTCCCCATTTTCTATTCTATTTTACCTAATCGACGCAGCTCCTTACTCATGTCTAAGTCTCGATTTGTTTGTCTACGAATAAATGAATTAGATCTACTAACTGTAGATTTTAAACTTACGAGTATTCAGAAAGTAAAGAAATATATAGGAGACGGAAAATGTCAATAGTTCACAGTCTATATTTACCAAGTGAAGCTAAAAATGCTGCGCCCACAAAACAAAAAATCCTGGATTAAAGATGGAGGCTCCTTTATGACGCGATTAATGAAGAGTTGCACTCTTTGATCTAATTTTATTATTATTATTAAAAAAAGAGTTGAATTCTTGGGCCAATACCATGCATGGAAGCGCAGCCCAGCAAGACCAACTTGGAAAGCAGACCTACATGTGAAATGAAAGGCCAACTACAGGGATCTGGCACAACTCATCCATACGTAACAGAAGTAGCTATCAAGTTTCAACCGTAAATCTACGTTCAACAACAAACTTGGCCCAGCTTAGATGATTCTGTGACAAACAATGGCAATTTTCAGACTTTGGACTATTATATTAACAAAAAGGACAAAACAAATCACATCTATGAAACCTTACCTTAGTGGCAAGGTCACTCGAATCTTATTTATGAACTACAATCAAGGGATTTCCTACAGATCATTACGTATAATCCAATCAAGAAAAAATCAGTGGTAAGCTTCACATGGGCAACTCCAGTCTGAACGTGTTGAATTAGTACATTTACAACTGTATTACTCTCATGATCTCACACTTAATTCCAATTCTTCATTCGAATCTCTACATTTCCTTAGGGCTGCCCTTATTTCCTTCAACATCTCATTTACTCTGATGCCTTTCCTGCTCAATATCAGAACAACTTACAGTTAGGCTGCTTATGTAAGAGTAAAAGTAAAACAAAACTTTGAGTGGTTACACTTGGTCAACTTTGGACCTCAGAATGCAGTATTAAGATGGGAACTTTTAATGAGCCAAGGCATTAGAGATGCAATACAATACTTAAGAAGAAAAAATATTACTTACAAAACGCTAACACCAACAACAGCAGCGGGCCGTGGATAGTCCTCAACTCCTTTATCCATTTTATCTTCATCAGAAACCACTGAAGACAATATATCCACTTCACCACCTTCAGTGAGCAATGATCGAACTACATCTTTAGAACTCATTCCCAACTCAGAATGTACTATATCACTTCCAATCTTTAAGATTTCTTCAGTTAAATGAGGAAGCTTATCCCTTGCCTAAGATAGTAAGCAGACAGTTTTAAATTCGCTAAAAAGACATGACATATAAGACATGTTATATGCATAACTCTTGCACTTAAGACAAACTCTCAAGAGAAGAGAGGAGCCCTATCAATAAGCGACTTACCTCAGGAAGGTCAATCTTGTTGAGCACTACAACATACGGTCGTTCCAGGTAATTAGGATTGTACATCCGCAGCTCCTGCACATCACAATTACTATGGTAAGGGAAGCTGAAATTGAGGGATATTCAGTTTGAGACACGATATCATTTGATTTTGATAGTGGCTGATACAAGATTTTATCTTTAATAGTGTTTGTAGAACTTAAAGGACAATTTTAAAAGTTAGAAAGGGCCGAAAAAGTGATGCCCAAACTCAAAATTTGGCCCTCCTATATGTTTTAAAACCATTGAATGCCGTAATAGCTACTACTTATTAGTGGAACAATCTCTTTATACACACTTAAAAGATTCCAATTTATATTTATGGACATTGATAAGCTAATACACAGTGATGATTCAGTGCAAAGTGAAACTACAGATCATTCCATCAATAACAAAGATGTCAATAAGACAATGAAACAATGTTAATAAAGTGAATATAAAATAAGAAAAGATAAAATATGAACAAGGGAAGATATACCTCTCTGACAGTTCTGTAGTCATTCAAAGGGTCCTCAGCCGATGCATCAACAACATGGACCAACAAACGTGTCCTCCTCAAGTGCCTCAAGAAATTGCGACCTAGACCCTAAACAATAAAAATGTCTCAATTAGAAACAGTATGATCAGAATAAGCAGTTAACAAGATGCAAAAGACACAAACCATATTACCTTGCCCAAATGTGCACCTTTTATAAGACCAGGCAAGTCTGCCAATGTTGCTTCAGATGAATATTTACCTGCCCCTAAAGCAGGGTCACCATCAAGCCGCCCAAGGTTTGGCATCAATGTTGTGAAAGGATAATCGGCAATATCAGGTTTTGCAAGTGTAATGGAAGCCAAAAGGGTTGACTTGCCTGCATTTGGAAGCCCCTGCAGGGCAAATAAATTATCGGTATCTACCTTTTGTAGCCAATCTGATGCACTATTCATAAACTATTATGAAGAATTTTGATGAACTTCCTTCCCTAGCCACAAATAGAGATTCCAAGGAAATTCAAATGGAATCATGTTACATAAAAATGCACGGACAAAAGGAAAAATAATAGGATGCAGTACTTACAACTAACCCAACATCAGCAACAACTCGAAGAATCAACTCCAAACTAACCTCCTCACCAGGCTGACCAAGAACTAAAACCTGCAAAAAGTATGCAAAAGAAAAGATTTTTATATTAAATAAAAGAAAGAAGTATCAATTTGTAAACAATAAAAACCCATATGAATTTTCATTCAAGCAAGCTGTTTCTTTTTATATTACTGTAGTAAGTGAGTTTCTTTCTATATTGCTATAGTAAGGGATAAGATTTCTTCTTGGGCACCTTATCACCGTCATCTCTCATCACGTTTGTGGTTAAAGACAACAACTTTTTCCTTTTGTATTCTGGCATTTCTAACAAGCTAATCTGCCACAAAACAAAGAAAATTAAACTGTCAATCACCAACTGATATTGAGAATACAAGTTATACAGCAATCTTAGGAACAGAATTGCCAAAAGAAAGGAGGTCTATCAAACAGAACAAGATTGGATTCATTGGAATCCTACTTCTTATCAATCAGTTTTTTGAATTGTAAATAATCTGAAACCTATCACATTCAGAGTACTAACACACACACACACACACACATGTGACTTGCATAACTCAGATAATAAAATGCAAAATGCCATTATCTTAAGTTCTTAACCTTCATCCATTGAATTTCACATTGTACTGAGTTAATCTGAATCTTTCAATAGGTTTAAACTACTAACTCCTTACTTCTTACCCCTCCTTGACCGCCCCTAGCAACAAGTACTTCATCACCCGGCTGTGCTAGGTCAGCCAATAACTTCCCACGTTTGCGTTTCACAACTGTGCCTGCATATCAATACACAAAATAAGAAAATTATGCATTTGGGAGAGTCTAAATTTTGTTAAAACCATTTCACCAAGCCATGCAAAGAACATAAAAACAGGTGCATCTTCATGGTATGCTCTTATATACTCTTAGATACTTCTCACAATCGAAATTCAACTTTCCTTTTAAGATGAAAAGCAAAATGTTATAGATGGTATCAACAGAGTAATATTACAAACCAACAGGAACAGCAATACGCAAAGTTGGGGCAGCAAGACCATCACGCAATTGAGAAGTTAAAACACCCATGGCATCAACATTGCCACCACGTTTTGCATTATGCCGGCTGTGCTTATGAAGTTCCAATAACGTATCTTTCCCTTCATCAGCATAAATGACTACATCTCCACCATGACCACCCATTGGAAGGATAAGTGACCCATCAAAATCCCTTTTATACGATGGTTTCTTCTTTGACTTGTCTTTAATCTCACGTTTTCCTTGTGACTTCGCAGCTCGTTGTTGGTCAGGCATGCTAAGGATGGCACCGTGGCCGCCATCCCCCGAACGGACGGTGATGATTACTTGATCAAAATACTTGTGAGGTTCTTTTAGTAACGTAGTGGGGTTTGTCGAAGGAGACTCTTTGGTTCTTGTGAGTCTGGACTTAAATGTACAGAATCTCAAGTTCCCAGATTTGGTTAAGTCCCAGTTATGCCTACAAAAGAAAGAAGAACAAAAGTAATTACAAAATGTCAAAAACAAAGTACAGAATCTCAAGTTTCCAGAGGCGCACCTTGTGCTTGTGGTCACGGGGAGAATAGGACCGAAGAAGAGTTTGTCGTTAGAAAGGCAAAGGGTGAGGTAAGAGGAGGGCAGAGAAACCAGAGACGCCATTATCTCAAAGAGTGATTAAAGGCGTGCAGAAACCAGAGTGGAAGACGCGGATTTTTGAGCGGCACGAACAGCTGAGGCGAGGTGAGAAATTTGGGGCGATGTAGCCATTAGCCCATTTTCTCTTTTGGACGCATCCAATTTGATTAGGCTTAAGTTCGTTTATAAGAAACAGCGTTATAAGAAAACAAGCGTGAACCACGGTCAACATTTTGATATGGCCCAACTAGTTCATGGTCCTAAAGGGCGTGGGTTTAAATCTCACTTCTAATCAAACTTATTTTTAGTTAATGTTTAACAAACTTGTTTTGAGCTTAATTTTTCTGAAAAAACTGCTATTTATTTAATATTATTGTCAACTATTTTTTAAATCAATTGATATATTATTAAAATTGATACTTAAAAAATTATAAATTTGAGAAAACTTATATATTATGATATTTAAAAATTACGAATTCGAAAAAATTTACGCACGTTATATCATTTTCATTTAGGTACGTAATAGAGTAACAGTGTTAAGCAGAATTAGGAATTAAAAATAATAATAATAAGATACAATTGAATTCCAATAAAAAAAAATTTAAAAATTTATCTTGATCTAGTGTTAGTTACATAATTTTACTAAAAATAGTTTTAGGATCAGTGGGGGAAGCTACCCCCATTGCAAAATCCACTGCTTTAAAAGGCCATTTCACGAAAAGAGGCAAACTTCAAAAAGTGAATGAACATTCAGATGCACCCAAAGGAACAGCGTCACAACCTTTACAAATACGCAGACAATGATTTATAATTGTCACCTATGACCCAACCTTACAGCAAATGCGTAGCAAAACCACATCAGCACAAGATTTTGAGCAAAGGCCTAACTGTCACTTGCCTTTCAAAATTTCCTCTCTTCAGCTTTTCAGAAAGTCTTTCAAAGAAAATGGCGGAGGCCCATCCTGCAAAACCAAGTTTAATGTTACCTTGGGACTAAAGTATTCGAGACAGAATTTCACTCCACCTAAAGGCATCAGTAAATGACCACACATTTTTAAAGTATAGTAGTATCTCTATGCATTACCTTTGTGTGCTCTTGGTTTAAGCATTGTCTAACTACCGTTGTTTGTTGTATCAGCCTTTCCATTGCCGTATAGCTTGGGTGGTTTGCATAAGCTGACATTATTCATGAGACATAACCCAAAATGAGAACAGATTGATTAAAAGATTGTAAAAGTACATGTAAAAGAAAGAATAATCAAATAGAGTGACAATAAACAGCAGGTAAACATAGGCAGAATCAGTACAACATGCTAAAAGGTAATCTGGTGAAGTAGTAGCTATAAGAATTAAACAAACCAAGGATTGCTCGATTTAAATTCTCTGCAACATGCTGCCGGTACTCCAAGCTAAGCAGATGAAACATTGGAGATTTCTCTGGTTCATCAAATGCAAGCAAAGCCATGAAATCCTGCAGTAACAGCAATTTTTTTCACGATCACACATAGATTAGATGCATGAAGATCTGCTAAGTTAGAAACATACTTCAAGCTTTTCAACATATTTTTGCTCCTTTCCAAAAGGGGTCAACTTCGTCTGTGCAAATTCCAGAGCTGCTGCGCTGCAACAGAAGTGAATTTTGTTAAAATAAAATTGTAGGATATCTGTTATTCATAATTCAGGAGATACTGATTTTCTTGCACACCACTTCCTAGAGCATACAAGCTCCACAAAATGAAGGCTTAGAAGATCAAAATGCAAGTCCTTATTTTTCTCTAGTAAGTTGGTTGCCAGCTGTTCAGTCAGTTCAATTGACTTAAGTGCATTCCCCTCTAAAGCAAATTGAAAAATTCCTGCACAAAATTCCAACAAAAATGTCAGCACTTATGAGACTATATAAGATAAATGAGAGCAAACGACTACAGAGAAGATATACTTCATAGTAGTAAGATCAATGCTCACTAACCAACTAGGCTGGCAAGATTGATATTTATTCTGTGGTTATGTGACAATATTTTAAAAATTTTGTAGTAGCTGATACAGCTTAGCAATTGAGTATGCAGACGTAGGTTCTCAGATTTTGCAGACGTTAAGTAAGCTAAGTAAACCATCTATAAACTATATTTCAGCTTGGATGTCAAATACTTCAAATCCCTTTTAACTTTTATTGGCACATACCAACATGCATGCAAGTTCACCTCTGAAATTCTCAGTAAAGAATGCCAATGATAGAACCTATGACTAGAAAACTTTGCATCTTTGGCAATTCACACATGCCTTGGTTGCACAAGTGTGCTCCATAATAGTAATCCTAGGTTATCTATTATCTACATCTCATCTATAAAACTTATCAGAGAGAAAAACTTCACATACTTTTTCTTTTATCCATGTCCTCAAGATAATCAGAAGGCTGCTTCATCCCAGTACAAGCAATAAAAGATTCCAAAGTTTCTTTAAAGCAATTATGCACGAGATATGACATAATAATGTTGTGGATGTCATTGTCATTGATTGCCTGTAAAAGACACACGGAGATGGGGAGCCCCAAAATGTAAGAAGATAAGGCTACTGGAGGGACATAACTATAACATAGATGAGTCACTATTTCTGTTCCAGTGCTCCATTTTCAAAAAGAGGAGCAAAAAAGTAGTCCACGAGAGTGTGGAACTATAAGATAGCATGAATAGATATTATAAACGAATCAGATATTTTCATCAAAAATTAACTAAACAAACCATAATGACTGAAGATGAGGAATGCTATTTTAAGTTGTGACACCATACACAATTGGCTGGGAAATGACAGCATCATATTATATCGTATCACCCTATAAATTGAAGGTACAGGAAATAGCTGAAACAATAGTAACTTGCCAAATTCCATAATAGTACCCAAAATCATCAAACAAGGTTAAGATGTAGATCAAACTCGACCAAACAACCCCAAAAGCTACATTCCCCAAAGCAACCTGCAGCCAAGAGCTATACCTAGATGCAATCTAACTTTCCAAATGAAGATTCAAGACTTTAACTTGTGGAAGAGCACTCAATTTCCAATTTCCAAGCAAAGAATTGACCCCTAAAATCAAGGTTTTACTTGCTATCATAATTTATTTAACAACAATAACAGTACAACACCTAGATGCCTACATATTGATTCTACTGCAAAATCAATCATGTATATACAATACAACCCATGCTTATTCCAGAATCTATAAATACCAAAACATAAAACAAAGAACTCAAGCCATAACGAACCCCCATAACCGCAACAACTAACAAAATCCATAAACCCGAATGAACCCAATAAGCTATAACAAACTGATAAAACTGCATAATCGCACAATACCCTAATTTTACACAATCAAATAGAAAGACATAGATCAGGCTTTGGATTATTCGAGAAAAAAATTAAAATTTCAGCAACAATCCAATTAACCAAACACATTAAAGCATAAAACAATTTTACCATTGGCAAAACTAATTAAATTTTCAATATTTTCACAACTGAAACAGAAGGGTTTGGGGAAGGTTAAAAACTTACAATATGTTCGTACTGACGAGGATCAACGTCCATGCTTGGGCAGATTATGGGAACTGAAGCTTTGGGATTTGGGTATTTTGGAAAACAAATAAAAGGGGGATGAGAGTTTAATCGTCGCAATTTGTAACTCTCTCCTTCTCTCCTTTCGTGTTTCTACCTCTTAGAGGAGAATTTAAAGTACAATCCGATAGAATTTGTTGTTGCTTTGAGTACACGTGCCTTTTTTCCAGATTCTCTTTGGTTCTCTTCTGCTTACTTATCGTCGTCATGGTGAAAATCGAGAGCCTGGTTAAACGTAAAAAGGAAAGTACGAGTTAGGTGTCAACTAATGAAAAGAAAAAACAACATTTTTTTACCATTAATTAAATGTTTTTTAACAGAAAATTAATTAAAATTAAACGTTACCAGTGAATTTTTTTCATACCATCCACGGTTGAATACTTACTACTATAATTTATCACTTCTACTTTATGGATGAAAAAAAAAAGTAATTTTCAAGAAAAAAAGGAGTATTTTTTTAAAAAATAATATGTTAAAATAATGTGATTAGTTTTTTTAGTCTGTAAATATTTTTTTAAGTGAAAAGACAGATATTTTTAATTTTATTTTATTATTATAAATTTAATTTAATTTTTATATAATTTGTACAATTGAATTATGCTTGATCAACTCGTGACACTAACTCAATTAATTATTTTAATATTAATATGTTGTATAAATATAGATATGTTTTATTTCTTATCTATCTTGCCTCGAATTACTCTCATTGCATTTTACCTCCTACTTTAATGTTCTTTAATCATTTGTTTTGAATCAACATATATATATATATAAACTTATTTTTCTTACATTATCAAAATGAAATACTTACATAATCTAACCCAATATTGCATTTTTTTTAATAAAGAATTTGAACTAACTCTTCAAATAAGATTTAAAAATAATTATCCAAGAAATAAAACTTACTCTTATAACATTCAATGAATTTATATATACCCAGTGAAAAGCTAAAATGCATTTATCCAAAGTTAAATGTCTTTTTAATCCCTTGAAATTTACCTAGTTTTTTTTTTTTTTAATTTTTTTAATGGAAAACAGAAAGCAGTACCGGTGAATTGATTATTACCAGTTGTTATTAGATTGTGTTTAAAGTAGCTTACATGATCCAGATTTCAGACAGACGGAGATCTTATCTGGCTTTACTCTTTTAAGCTATAGCTTGTCACTTGTCAACACGTCATACATAATACATATATTGAGAAATGCAAATGCGAGCAAAAAAATCAAGAATAAAGCATTGCATTTCAGTTTTTACCGTTCTCGATAACATCACCTTCTGACAAGTAGTGTGTAGTAATTTTACTCTTTTAAAGGGTCAGAAGAAGTTACGAGGTTGGTCGTTTCGGACAACTTCCGACCTACTTTCACTGCAAGAAAGCCATATTTTCACTTCCTCTTTGGATGCCCACATTTCCAGGCAACTGTAATCAGAAAACAAACATACACCATTGAAAAATAGGACATCTTTGTGCTTCCTTTCTGTTGTCTTTCCTCCTTTTTCTTTGACCTTTCTTTTGCTTCTCCTTGCCAAATACCTCAGCTCTTCGAAACTTGATGTTATCAACATGGTAAAAAGATAATTTTACTGAAATATCGTCTCCACCCATACCTTTACTCTTTGTTATCTTTCTATTTCCCACCTTCCTGTCTTGTGACAAATGACAATGTCCTGGGGTATTGAAACATGCCGGTAATATCCGAGCCAAGATTTAGCTTCAGGCACCAACTAAAAATCCAAAGTTATCTATCCCCCCACCCAAAAAAAACCCCCTTATTCATCCCTATCCATTTCCCTGCCCCGTCAGCTCTTCTACCTTATACCATGTCAGACTGCCAACTCCATGTAGCTAGTGAACTTTGGATCCATTCAACGGCTTCATCTGGAGAGACCAAATTAATTGCTTCTCGTTTTAAGCAAACCTGTGTGAGAGTAACTCTGAGAACCTAACTAACTTCTGCTGGCATTTATAAAGCATCACCAAAATAGGTAAATGGTAGTTTTTGCAGATGAATGCAAGTTGTCAAACGTGGTTTGACCATTTCTGCCATGCCAAGTCTTTCTTTCCTTGGTCAAGGCCATGAAAGACAACATCTAGAATCCCTGCTTTCCATGTCTCATGATGCAATCCAACATTCTTCAACACCACAATAAATTTGTATCAGTAGTTCAAAAACTTTACTATATAGTATTTTGAGTTCAAAGTATTGTTTGGAACAAGTTCAGTTCTGCCCCATCCTAATGGATCCATAGGGTAAAGGAATGGCCAGATCTCCATCGTAAATCTGCTAGCTAACATTTGCATCCTCATAAGCGTGGTCAAGAGCAACTAACCAGTAACCTGACGGCTATGCTAACAAGTGCAATGTGATTTGTTCCAGCTCGTAGGGTTCACTGGTCCTGTAAATGTGAATATCCTGCTTTCCCTAGTCCCAAAGGCTGGTCCACTGACTTTATCATCTTCCTTAGTATGACTTAGAAAGCAGATAACAAAAATCAATGCTATCAATAAGAAACAGGTTCATGACCATTCCAAAAGACATAGGTGTCTACGAAATCCAAGCCTCCATCTTTAGCCTTCTTTATAAGATCCTCTCACATCAATATCCAAAAAACAACCAAAAAAATCAGTTTTTTTTTTTTTTTTAATGTTTTCGGTTGGTAAATAAAAGGAAAAGAGTGAAAGACAATCACCAAAGATAATGAATGGAGCCACAGATGAGACTTCTCCTTTCTCCATTGTTGAAAATAGCTGTCTTATCACGGTAACGGTGCAATGTATCAGCTTAGATCACACTAACAAGGCTGTGAAGAACAAAATCAACAGATCGGAAACTGAACTAGTTTCCATTTCCCTTCAATAACAGAAACCTTGGAGGGAAATTTTAAGAAAAACAAAATATAAAAGAAAGGAACTTGAATTGCTAAAGTGAAAGAACAATGACTAAATAACAAAGCCGAAAAACTAGCTAGTACCCACTTCAAGCAAGGAAACTGAACCACATCAACCATCAATCCACTCCAAGCTTAAGAATCCAATCAAAGTTGCGGTAACATAAAGAATAAAACATCTCCAAAAGAAAGAAAAGTTTTTTGTGCAAAGTAACCATGTTAATATCTATAATTCATTCAAGATTCTAACAACTAGTAGTAAAAAACAGGCAGAGAGATCCCATATAAAAAATTTACAGCTTTGCCGTTGACAAATTAAGCATAAAAACATCTATATATTCACCAAATTTTCAACAAAAATTACTTAAATTTAGTCAAATCCCTCGTCATGAAGAAGGAAACACGTCTTTAACGGCCAATGCTGCGGACAAGTAATTAAGGGTGTTCCTTAAAGTTTCCTTCTCTCTTTTTAACCTGGCCGCCGTGTCTTCTAACTCCAGCAAAGCCTGTTGCTCTCTCGGCGCCCCTTCGAATGTACTCCCAGCAAAAAATGAAAAAGGCGTCGGAAATAGGTTCCTCCTCAAATCCTGCGCTTCCTTTTCCAGTTTCCCATTGAGCCGATTCGATAACCGAATAACGTCTTTCATGTAACTCTCCACTTCATTGGCTAACCCTTCCAAATCTTCGTCGCCTGAGGGTCGGTCTTCGAGCCAGTCGAATTCGGCAACGAGATACGGCTTCGTACGGACGATGGTGGTGATACGGAACCGTTCTTGACCTTTACATATGAGGAAGAAGCGGTCGTCGACAAGACGTTCGTGTTTGACGATCTCGCCGACGCAACCGACGTCTGCGGTGCCGGTGACGGCGTCAGAATAAATTACGCCGAATCGGAGGTCGGTGTGGAGGAGCGTGTGCATCATAATGCGGTAAGGGAACTCGAAGATCTGGAGAGGGAGGATAACGCCGGGGAAGAGAACTATGGGGAGAGGAAATAGAGGGAGCTCTACGACGTCGTCTGATTTAGGAGGATTGGCGTGGTGTTTCTCGGGGAAAGAGGAAGCCAAGCACCGGAGGGAGCTGAGCGTGTGGAATCTGCGCGATTGAGAGAGTGAAAATGACTTGGAAAAGGGCTTGAAATTAAGGTTTATCGAAAGTTGGTGAGTGAGTGAGGAAGACGAATGGGAAGGGATTAGCTGAGGAAGAGCCATTGAGGAAAGACCAGAAGCTGTTTGAAGTTTTGCGTAAGGGAAAAATAAATAAATCAAAAAAAATTCTAAGAATGATAGTAGTAATTTCCCATTCGTTGAAGGAAAAAAAATGGAAATTACTTGTATTTTTGCCTTAATATTTCTTAGTGTCTATTTTCAAAAATAAAAAAATTAATTTAAAAATAAATAGAATATATGTTATCATTCTAATTTTATTTGTAAAATTAAAAATTTTATTATTAATATATCAAATAAAATTTTTATTTAAAAATTATTAAATACACTTATAATAAAATTTTTTAACTTTATAAACAGTATTAAAATTGTGATACATATTTTTTAATATATTTAAAAAATAAAAATATTAATTTAAAAATAATAAAATATATATTATCATCTTAATTTTACATATAAAATTAAAAAATGTCAGCATATCAAATAACAAAATTACGATTCTGTGTTATACACCGAATAATTTCTCATTTATTTGTAAGAGCATGAGTGGATAATATTGTGGGGAAGGGGGAATTTGGGTGTGAAATGTGGGTTGGAGGACTCCCATGTGGGGGTCCGGTCATCTGGAATTTTGTGGCACGTGTGTTAATTTTTGAACGTGAATTTGCATCGCATAAATGTGATGACGGCAAATTAAATTAAATTAAATTATTTTTTATAATTATTTTTAAAAATTATATTTATTAAATTTAAAATTTTTTATCCAAAGCTACTATCATATTTGTATAAAAAAAGTGATAATAAGTTCATTTGCGCTTTAAAAAGTAAAATTTAACATGATATTCAAATTTTTTAATATTTCTAATTTTTTTATTTTTTTTTATTTTTCAGTTACTATATATTTTTATTAAAAAAAAATACGGTGAGAGATGCTTGCTGTTTCATGGACCATTTTTATCCAAATACTAAAAAAAAAAAATCTTGATTTTGGTTTAAAATATTCGTAACAGAGATTCTTTGCAAAATTCGACCAATGAGGTGATGAAATTTGAGATGATTCTTTATTTATAAATAGGAGTAATTGAATTGACGTTTAAAGTTAAAGAACTTGATATGTGAGGGAGAAGAAATTAAAGAAATATTTTTTTTTATTGACCGAAGTACATGCTACAATATATATTTTTGGCATTTGTAACTTGCAGATTAAATTTTTTTTTTAATACATCAATCTATTTGTAGTTAACATCGGACCTAACCTTTTTGACTTTTAGATTAAGGTTATCCTAGCAATATTTGTTTTAATCGCATATAAAAATTATAAAAATTTATGATATGTGCCTTGAAGCCCAAATTTACTAAATGTTTTAAATAAATTATTTTCAGCGTGGACCGAGGCGATGTTTTCGTTACCGTCAATGCGCCACGTCGCGTGTCGGCGGATAGGCATTTTTATGTCATATCTCGTATTATATTTGATATATATAATAATATAAATTATTAAAATATAAATATAATATAAATTATAAAATATATTTAAATTTTAAATATATATATGTTTAATATATGTTATACATAATATAATATGATTAATATGTATATAATTAATTTATTTAAATATTATATAAATAAAAATAAATAATATAAATATACACAAATAAATAAAATTAATACGAATATATATATAATTAACAAAAGAAATATAAGAACGTAATTAAAATAATAAATAATTATAAATTATTTATTATTTATAAATTAATAAATTTGACATATTAATAATATAAAAAATATTTACATATTAAAAAATTTAATACTCATTTATTATATATTTAATATATATATTTAAATATTAATTTATATTGTATAATTATATTAATTTTTAGTATCACAATCAACATAATAAATTATTAAAAAATAAAAAATAAAAAATAATGTATAGAATTAATATTAATATTATATTAATATTATTAATATAAAATTTTTTATAATAATTATTAAATAAATATAATAATTAGATGTTTAAAATAATTTTTATATGATATTAAATAGTAAATTAAATATCATAATTAAAAGATTAAAAATTAAAATAATATTTATATGTGTATATTAAATTCAAATAAATATAAAAATTTATTAAATTTATTAAACATATTAAACATATATTTATATGATAATATTAAATTAAATATATTTATTTATATTATGTTATATATTTAAACAAATTAATACATATATTATATAAATTATATCATATAAAAATTTATATTAATACAAATAAATATGAAATATTTTTTTTAAATATATATAATTTTTTAGATGTCATTTTCGTGACTAAGGAAGGTAAAAAAATTCGTACCCTACGGGTTTCGGTTCGACCCGATTTTTTAGGGTCGATTTTTTTTTTTTGAAAATCGGGAGTCGGGTCGGGTAGCATGAAGACAAAGTCGAGATCGGGTCGGGTTTTAGGCAAACTCGATCTTACCCGACCCGATATATATAAAAATAATTTTTTTAATTAATTTTTTAATTATATATATATTTATATAATGATATTTTTAAATATTTATATTTTAAAAATAATATTTTATTAATTTCGGATCGGATCGGATACGATTTATATAGTATCGGATCGGGATCGAATATGAAAAAATAAAAAAAAAATTTAAGTAAGATCGAATTCGAATTTTTTAAATATTAAATTCAATCGAGTTCGGAACGAGCAAAATCCACACCGTAATCCGACCCGATACCAACCCTTTTCGTGACACGTCTGAAATTATCGTATCTAAAGAGACATCCGTTCCCTTCAAACGGAGAAAACACGGAGTTACGTCATCCACTAACGAGAAAAGATTTTTAAGTCAATGACATATGAGAATGCGTCATGTGTTTCTGACAAGGGCATTCTCGTAATAAGCCTTTAAACTCCTCCTCTATAAAAGGCGTTGTAGGCATCGCTCTAGGCAATTTAAAAGCAAAGGAAAAAGGAGGATTCGGCTTTGACGGTTGGTAACTTTGACAGAAAGAAATCAAAAGGAAAACAATGGCGGAAGAGGGACAAGTGATCGGCTGCCACACTGTTGAATCATGGAACGAGCAGTTCCAGTTGGCAAAGGCTTCCAAGAAACTGGTAAAAATATATTCTTTCATTTGATTAACTCAAGGATCTGATCAAAATCTGTTGTTTCTTTGGATTAACAAAAATTTTCTTTTGTTATATTGTTTGGGAAAAGTGGGCTTTGTTTGCTTATCTGCTTTGTACCTTTTGTTTGTTTGAAAAGGCTATGTCTTTTTTTTCTAATTCATCAACTGTAATTCAGTGAATCAAGCAAACAGAATTTGGGTTAATTGGTGAAATTGATAGTAAACTTGGTTTGCTTTCAATGCAAGATTTAGATTTTTGGATGCTTGTTTGCCTGAACCGACCTTATATTTGGGCTTGAAATTATATCCCGTGCTTAATCATCACAATACTTGATTACTTCGATTTATGTTCTTCATTTATGATAGTCTTTTTAACTTCCGTTTCCCCCAATTTCTAATGCTTTTTGGTTTCCTGTTTTTATGATAATTAGAAAGCTTTATCATACTTGAAGAAAATATTTTCTTGGACAGGTGGTGGTGGATTTCACAGCTTCATGGTGCGGACCATGCCGTATTATTACACCATTCCTGGTAGAGCTTGCTAAGAAGCTGCCCACTGTCATATTCTTGAAGGTGGATGTGGATGAATTGGAGGTAGGTTCTCGTAAGCCTTTGCTTAAACACAGTGTGTAATTTAGCTTTTGACTCAATCAGATGATGGAGTAAGAGTAATACATTTTCTTAACAATATTCTGCCCTTTATTTTGCAGACCGTGGCTCAGGATTGGGCTGTCGAGGCTATGCCAACTTTTATCTTTCTGAAAGAAGGCACACTAGTTGACAAGGTTGTGGGTGCAAAGAAAGATGAATTGCAGCAGAAAATAGACTTGCATTCTTCCGACCTGGTGCAGAAAGCATGAATCAATAGTTTAATTTTACTGTTTGAAGTCTGAAGTTGTTTTTGAAACTAGAATTTTATGTATGAATCTTATCTGTGTCCCAGATAAGTGCTAAATAATGGGTGTTTTATTTGTATTCCGCTAGATTCTGCTGCTGCCCTTGTTTCTATATGATAATATGATATTAATCTTGTGTTTTCTGATACAACTTTGTCTATTGTTTAGTTGAGAAAGCTGATAGCTTAAACAAAGGCTTTCAGCCCTTGCATTTTCACAATTGGACACTCTTAACACTGTTGAACAATATTGTTTCTTGCTTTGCATTTTGACAATGATTCTCGCGCAACATCTCAATAGTTAATAGAAGGCCAAAATATGGGACTTCAAACTCAGGCATCAACCAGCTGGTCTGTCATTCATCACCCATTACTTTACAGAGCATTTATCCCTGCTCTAAAACCTTTATATTTCTGCTACAATTAAACAATAGCGAAATAGCATTTAGACAACGAAACAGAAATATCTTCTTCACCTCTATCTTTGTTAATTTTCTCTTCTCCTCTCCCTTGTGAGGGTGTCGAGGCGAGGTTTATAAAACTGATCTCCTCACAAGTGAAATTTTTGATGCATCTCCGCCAAGTTCTTCAAAGACAACCAACAAATTTTGTCTTGGCTTTAGCCATGATCTTGGAACGTGATACCTAAAAAGTCCAAAATATAAAGAAGACAGATAAAAGTTTAGGGGGATTCAACTATAACCTTATTTTATGCTAATTGCATAAGAGTTTCAAGTCCACTGAAAGCTTCGTAATTTACGGAGTTTGAGGATGATACCATCTTTGGGTTGGCTGGTCACAACCACTCTGGCACTTTGGAGGTCGGAATGTCCCTGAGTAACTACAAGTACCACATTCACCCTTCGCATAAGCCATCCAATATCTTCCTAAGCTCTGTCCATTGATCCATACTTGACCCTTTCCCATACTCCTCATATCCAAAGCCAATGGTTCATCACCTCCTGGGCCATCGAAATATGCCTGCAATATCCAAGCCAGGAATCAACTTCTGACACCATCTAAAGATCCCAAGTTATCCCCTCAACCCTCAAAAAAAAAAAAAAAGGCAAAAAATGAAAATCCCCCTTTCATCCCCTTTTTATTTCCTTGCAACTTCAGCTTTCTACGTACCTTATACCATGTCATAGACTGCCAACTCTGTGTAGCTAGTGAACCTCGGATCCATTCAACAGAAGAGGCCCCATCTGAAGAGACCAAATTCATTGCTTCTCCTTTTAGGCCAACCTAATTTGGGAGTAGTTCTGTGAGCCTAACTAACTTCTTCTGGCATTAATAAAGCATCACAGAAACAGGCAAATCGTAGTTTTTGCAGATGAATGCAAGTTGTCAAACCTGGTATGACCATTTCTGCCATGTCAGGTCTTTCTTTCCTTGGTCAAGGCCTTGCAATAAAACACTTAGAATTCCTGTTTTCCATGTCTCGTAGTGCAATCCAACGTTCTTCAACATCACCATAAATTAGTGTCAGTGATTCAAAAACTTAATTGTATAGTGTTTTGAGTTTAAAGTTTTGGTTGGGAAAAGTTCAGTTCATTTGGTCTGCGCCATCCTACTGGATCCATAGGTAAATGAATAGCCCGATCAAATTGTAAATGTGCCAGCTAAGCTAACATTGCCATCTAGATAAGCATGGTCAACAACTAACCGGTAATCCAACGGCCATGCTGACAAGTGCAATCCTATTTGTTCCAGCACGTAGGTTCACTGGTCCTGCAAATGTGAATCTCCTGTCTTCCCTAGTCCCAAAGGCTGACCCTGTGATTTATGATATGCCTACGTATGACTTACGTAGATACCATAATACAGTGCTCTCGGTACCTAATGTATTCTTAAATTATATTACTCCATGAGTAAATCCAGAACATACCAGAGAACTGTCCATTGATGAAGACATGAAGAGCATGGCCAGCTGAATCTACATTGAGAGTGGGCTTTTGTCCTCCTCGCAGAAATGATTCTGATGGACTAATGTCAACACTGGAATGAAATTAAAACAAGAAATTATTATCATATTGCCTAGACCGTCTTTAGATTAAATATTATTATGGCTACTGCCTTGGCCACTATGCAATATTTCAGTGCAGTATTTGTGTCTGACAACTTCCACTTAATTAAATATGGACTGGCGGTTGATTATGGATTATATCTAATTTCCTCCTCATTCTGTCCGACTCATTCTCAAGATCCCAAGAAACCTCAAGTGTGTCAAAATGTCGTGTCTCACCTGGTTGTGTACCACAGGTAGTCACTAGTGTCTCTGGTAACATTCATCTGCTCCAAGAGTCCAAGAGCGGTGATTCTTGAACTTTCCCCTAGAGAAGAAATGTCTTCATCATAAGTCTCCCACGAGGACATCTTGGAGTTTGTTGGCAACATTTGGATCTGTGAGGTTTTAACTCCAACCTTGATGCACATAGGAAAATTATATAAGTATTTTCATAGGAAAATCAAAAGATTTTAATAAAAATAGCCTTTACTACATTAAAATAGGCCTTTGGATTACTTACTATTGCAGTGTTAAACACCACATTTCTGCAATCAGGAAGGATGCTAATGGACCAAGGGGGCAAATTGTACTGCCTGTTATTAAACATCACCGTAGCGGCAGATTCTGTATGGTAATTAGAGAGAAAAGCTGCACAGCTTCCTTGCATTGAAGAGAATACATGGGCCTGAATGATAATCATTTTAACATCATCAGTGGAAAGTTTTTTCTTAAAGCAAATTATCCTACCACCGACTGGCAATAAGTGTAATCATTGACAGAAAAAGCTTACTTCCTGATAGGTTCCCAAGGAAGTAACAGTAGGATCTGAGGAAACTAAAGCATGTTCACATAGCTTAATAGCCCCATGAAGCTCCTTCAAATGACCGTATTTAGGCTGCCGGATTAAACCTAAACCAGGGGTGAACTTGTCAGTCACAACTAAGAGTTCAAAGAACCCCTATGATATGCTGCTATTTGTACAATTAGAATCTATTAGAAGATAGCAAGGAAGAAAGGAAATATGAAAGGTCTATGTATTAAGCAATTGCCCCTGTCAAATTCTGATGAGGCATGTATAGATTGTGAAAAAATTAAAAGCATTTCACAGTTCATGTTTTTCATAATGATAGAATGAACTCTGTTTTCTCACCATATTCATCAATTGGAGCATCATAGTCATAACTGGTTGTAATAAATGGTCCACCAGTGGTCCGTCCAAAGTTGGTTCCTCCATGGTACTATGAAAAGCAAAAAAAATAACATAAGCTGTAAGCTTAAACTTGCTTCTGGAACCATGAGTCATTTTTCAATTATAAACCAAAATAAACATGGTAACTAACCATATAATAATTAACATATGAGCCACCCTTTTGCATGAAACGAGCAACTGCAAATGCCAAGTCTTGAACTGGGCGCTGGTGAATTGTGCCACCAAATTCTGTAAACCTTCTCATTATTGAGTGAACAAATATCAGATAGACAAATAAGCATGTTACTTCACATTCCAAACATTCCAATGGATTGGCAAATAAAGAACTCACCAGCCACTCCAAGCCTCAGTCCACAATGTAGGCTTGTTAGGTTTGTTGGGAGCAAATGCATCACAGTAAAATCCATTACATGCATTTATCTGCATTCAAGATGTTAAGGGAAACAGAATCAGGGTCTTTCAAGACCACATGAAATTCAATAAAGAGGAAAAATGGTAGAATTAGAAAGTAAATCATTGGACAACAAGGCAAAATCAGGGAAGGGGAGAGAGTGAGACAGCTTACTACAGGATCTGGGGCATCATCTTCCTTGCACATTACCCATGGGACTCCTGTATCCAATCCAACAGCCATTTCTGCAGCCCAATTAATGTATGCTTGACCAGCTCCTCCAAGTGCCTTACTCTCAGGGCCATATTCATTCTCAATCTGCACAAATGAAACAGTATAAAAGAATTAACATACATAGTAATTCAGACTAAAGCATCCATTGTTATTGGCATCTTAGGCTTTCTTAGCCATCCTTCCAGCTCTTCCCTTTTTGAAAACCAAACCTTGATTCTCAGCTAATTTGAGCAAATCAAAATTCCTAAAACTAAAAATCATAAATGCCAAATATGGAAAATCTCATACCTGAGAGAGGATGATTGGACCACCTTGTGATGCAAAAAGTTTTTCATCCTTCATCATTTGGACAATTTTCTGGGTAAATCCTTGCATTTTCATCTGTAGGAAAATTTCCAAAAGAAAAAAAATTAGATTTTTCCTTAAAAGCCTATTGGCTTTATGATTTCTCCTTTTTTTTTTTACTTCCTTTTCGTCTTCAAATTAAAAAAGCCTTCTTTCTCCTTTCTTTTGGATTTTTCCATTTTGGTAAAGAAATTCATAGAACAGACAGAATTGATAGAAAAAAAAAAAAAAACAACTAAAAGGTCTACAAATTGAAAGGAGAAATATTAAAAAAAAACACCTTGAAGGGCTCATTATCTGTTCTGAAGCTGATACCAGGAACATACTTTAGCCAAACAGGAAGTCCTCTGTAGCAGAAACAGAATGTTAAGCCACTCATATCCATCATTCGATCCAGGAAGCAAGAAATAAAAATTAAATTAAATTAAACCACATCTTTTATCAAGCATTTTCTCTTAAACATGCTAAGAATGTTCAAAATTTTCTTTTGACCGAAATGGCAAAGAGAATAAAAATAATAAGTACCCAAAATTCCACTCTGCACAAACATAAGGTCCAATGCGAAGATGAACGTATAGTCCCATTGTCTGCACTGTCTTAATGAACCGTACCAGGTCGTATCTCCCCTCGAAATTATACTATATCATTCCAAAAATAGAGAAAAATATTTGATTATCAAGGAAATGAAATGTTGAAGAAGTTAAACTGAAAAAACACAGAATTCAAAGATGACCCAGTTGAGATCTAAGATAGTACATTGCCAGGAGAAGATTCATGACCATTCCAAAAGACATAGGTGTCTATGACATCCAAGCCTCCATCTTTAGCCTTCTTTATAAGATCCTCCCACATCTACATCCAAAAAAAAAAAAAACCCAATACTCAGTCTTTTTTATTTTATTTTTTCAGGGGAGCAAGAGGAAAAGTGTGGAAGATGATCACCTCAGGGGTGCTTCTGGGATAATGAATGGAGCCGGAGATAAGGATTCTCCTTTGTCCATTGATGAGAATAGCTTTGTTATCATAGGAAATGCTGCACTGGACCAGCTTAGAACTCACTAAAAGGGCTGTGAAGAACAAACTCAACAGCTTGGAAACTGAGCTAGTTTCCATTTCCCTTCAATAACAGTTGACTTGAAGGGAAATTTTGAAAAAACAAAAAAAGAACTTGAGTTGGTGAAGTGACTGAGAAGTTGGTAAGACACTGATCTGTTACTCTGGAACCAGCATTGTTCTTTTTAGAATCTGCTTCACATGAGTTCATATAACTCTCTGCAGCTGTTCTCTTATGTACTTGGCATATGCTTGTTACTTCCACTTTAAAAAGTCATGGAAGAGTCCTATTCATTTTCAGCCATTAAAATATTGCACAAGCCATTAACTCAGTTGCATGCTAACAGCCCTAGAGTATGTTATAATTATTTCTCTATCCTCATGAGGTTTGAATTTAGAATTTGAAGCAGACAGCATTTACTACATTAATATTCACAAGATAGCAATTTTGTTGTCTGATTGTAGTGAAGAATCATGAGAATTCACCGTTTTGAGGTTTACCAATAGTAGCAAATAAAGACGAAAACCTTTTTGATAGGCTGGAGTTACTATCATTGATGGTGATGAATGAAACTTGAATTTTAAGTGAAGTATATGTAAAAATTATTACATAGAGACAAATTAATTAATGATAATAACTAAAGGAAAAAAAAATTCATAGTTTTGTTCTCCCCGCAAAGAAGAATCTTGACCAATTAAACACAGTTGGCTTAGTTAGAACATAAGAGCAATGTGGATTGGTTGACCATGGCCACCTTCCCCGCCCACGTTTTAAAAAACTCTGAGATTGTACTGCTGTCATCTACAATATTTCAAGGGAAAGGAAGAAAAAGGTATGGCCAAGGAGCAAAACCCTAAGACAAGACAGCGGGTCCTTGTGTTGCATGTGTTCAAACTCCATATTATATGAACAAATATCTGATGCTTTCTTAAATTCTCATTAAGGTTTAGTAGTATTTTCGTGTATGGTTACGAATTAAAGTAACAGCCAGGCAAAGAACAATTATGTAACGCCCAACTCATCATGCATCTACCTCCACATCCAAAAGGTGATTTCCTTTTCTTTTCTTCCTGTATAATTTCCACCCTTAGGCCTTACTATAATTTGGTTTATTATGAATCTAATTACCACTTTCATCAATGTTTTAAATCCAACAGTTTTTTTAGTCTTGATTGTGATTGATGGGTGCTTAACCATGATCTTCATTGTTATTATCACCATTAAAAACGTTGCCAAGAAACGATAGGCGGAAGATATAGGGAAGTTGACGACGTTGATCAAAGTGATGTGATGGACGATGATGATGGTGTGGGTCTTTTTGCCAATTTTATGCACTCCTTTCTATTAGCGTATGTAATGTATTAAGCAACGGGGCACCGTTCCTGCACCGTTTGTTTCTCTCTATTTTCAAGGTGTTCCGCTAGATCTCCGTTCCGTTTACGTCGGTGCAAGCAACATTATTCAAGAAAATATTTAAATTTCTCCTTCTTTTAAAATTTGTTTTGAAATGTTTGTTCACTTAGACAATGGCAAATCTTACAGCCTTTCAAGTATGATTACAGCTTACCGGGATCCCTGGATCACGTAGTGAAGTAAGTTTAGGCCCTGCTTTCACTCGGCTCTTCAGACTTGATCACCATGATCATCTTCATGCCCTTCCAGAAGGGCTTTACGAGCTTCGGCCAATAAAGTGTCTCCATCAGTTCTTTATTAGTCTCCAATACAGTTGAGATAGGGGTTGTTGATGACATATATAACACCATGGAAACAAATTACTCAACTCATGAATGGTTTGTCTTTTTGGCAGTTTTAGCCTTAATTTAGTCGATTCTCTACATTTTAATTACCTACAAAGCTAAAGTCACGTGAAATGTTTTTTTTATTTGTTTAAAATTATCAAGAATCGACCCTTTATTCATTAAAATAAAAATGTAATATTCTTTATCAACACAAATCATATGATAAATTAAAATAAAATATTTGGTTGAAATAATAATTTACTTTTAAACATGTAAAAAAGATTATTAATGTGATTTTTAAGTATGAATTTTGAAAAACACATGATAGTTTCGTATCTTAATTCTGAATTAAATAATATTTGGGCCTCAAGACCATTGCAATTTGTTAAAATGGCTCTAATTAATGCATACGTAGGCCGAAAATTTGGCTTGACTGGGCAGTTAATTAATTTTTAGGACATTACAGGAAAATGTTTTGGGCTTCATTGGGCTGTCATGGACCATCAATTTGGCCCAAAATTGTCATATATGAGATAAACTGGGCCTAATAAGCAGAAATTCGTGAGACTGAAAAATTTACAAAGTGAGCCAAGATTCAGTCGGACTCTGCAATTATAACTTACACATTTTGGACCGAAAATTTAGTCCAAATGGGCAATTATAGCTCATCCAATATATATGTTGGGTACTAGAGATCGGAAGAAAGTGAGGTCATCATGCCCGTATCACAGTTGCGTTCTTGCTGGCTTCATTATCAATCAAAACGCTGATAAGAAAGCTGAGAAACTATTACTACACTAAATCTAACGAAATTACAATAAAGACGACGACCATCTATTTTCTACCTTTCTTCTTCTCTAGAGATAAGAAAGTTTGCCCCTCGACAGCCATGACAGCAGCTATTTGAGTTCCACGTTGGCAATGCAACCTGGCAGAAGATGCTGCAGGTGCTTATGTAACTTTATCAACAACTACCAACACACAAAAATAGTAAGCTGATTTGCCTCATTTCTAAAGTCAGCTTTTAGAAGGTTTTAAATTGTTATTGAATAATATGAAGAGCAAGTTTATCATCCACAAACTAGCTACACGTGTAGAAAAAAGTACAAAATGTTATCTTTGCTTTAAATCGCCATAAGAATGTGAAAGTTGAAAGCTCCTAAGGATAAGTTTATATGATACTATCTTTTGAAATGGAGGGAAAAAAAAAAGCAACAAAAAATGACCCATGAATTGAATGCAATTGCTTGATCATACGCAGCAGAAATCCGCTGCTGAACCATTAACAAGCAACAGCGAACGTGCCTAGATGAGGCAATTTGGTACATGAAAATTATATCTCTCGAATAACATCAAAAGAATTGCGTTATGAAGATTCTGCTAACGTTCTAGACACTGGAGATGAGAAGTTAAAAAAAAGTTGAATCGTTTTGATAGTTGACAGGGATGCCCTTTACCGAGGGAATTTATGATTCTTTACGTACAATTTCCTGAAATTTCACAATGAAAGACAGAGAAAATTATGATAATGAAAAATCTTGACCGAAACAAAATGATGGAACATTCTGTGCAAAAAGATAAGAGCTCTCCTCATCAAGACATTGTTTTTTGGTCGATCTGATTCCTTCCTTTGAATTGTTTCCCTTCAAAGTGGAAAACAGAATAAGCTTCTTCTGCAGAATTTGAAAACTATATTTGTTTCACAATATTAAACTCAGAAACACCACTTTTGTGCTCATAAATTCAAATCATCTGCCAGTTACTTTATATCGTCCTAAACTACCTTCTTCCGCCTGTTCTCTTCACCTCAATTTGCCAGGTGTTTGCTCTTTGCTTGAGAAATGGTAACCATTAATTTGGTTGCAATTACTACTTGTTTTTTCATTTTATTTTTTACTAGTAGTTAATTCTCCTGAATGATGTTGCCAGAGTCTTGCGGACGATAAGAAAGCAGTACAAGTTGGGCCATGGGGAGGCCAAGGCTGGTCTTGTTGGGATGATGGAGTATACTCCACGGTAAGGCGATTGGTGATAGCTCATGGAGCCGGAATTGACTCTATCTAGATTGAATATGATAATAAAGGGAACTCTATTTGGTCAAGGAAGCATGGGGAGATGGAGGCTCTAAGACAGATAAGGTTAGTTTCATACGTATGTAGTTCTCAACATAACACCATTTAAAAACTGATATTCTGGAATCATAGGCTGATTGGAGAATCTTAAAATGCATAGAATTCATCAATTCTGTTTTGAACTTACAGTATTAAGTGGTAGATCTTCTTCTAGATTGCTATGTGTAATTGTATATAGTTGACAGCAAAGTTCACTTACTGATATTCATTGTGTGATTTAAATTGTTTTAGATCAAACTTGATTACGCAGATGAGTTTCTTACTTCGGTCCATGGATACTATGGGAGCCTAAAAGAAGGGGGACCGAATCTTGTTCGATCGCTTACTTTCCCTAGCAACAGGAGAGCACATGGAACCTATGGTTTTGAACAAGGAACTAGTTTCTCAACTACCAGGGGCAAAATTGTTGGATTTCATTGCAGGTGTGGTTGGCATTTGGATACAATTGGAGTTTATTCAAAGCCTATCTTAAAACTGCAACCATCAAAGACTATTATTCATGCCCAAACTTTCGTTGTTAATGGGGCTGAAAAAGGTGGCTATTCAGTGATCCAGGGAAGTGTTGGAGAAAGCTACGATATAGTTCTAGCTGTAAGACAGAGGGATGCATTTTGGAATACCCTGCCAAGGGATCTCAAAAAGGCAAACTTCTAGCAGCTCTGACGATTCAAGTGATGTAGAAACCAAAAGCAAGATAAGAATTAAATCTACTCATGTTTTCCCTT